TCTTTGAAGCGAAACTATAAATAACAACAAGAGACAATCATATTACGTCAACAGTTCAACAACATATTAGAATATCCAACTCCATTAGTTCCGCGATGCAGAGGTATGGAAGGTGAATCTTTGTCTCGATGAGAAGACGTTCACGCTGCAAGAAAAAGAAAAAGGTGAAAGGTATCTGGCGTGATAACTTGTCCACATACATTAAGCATCTGATATACCAACGAACATTAGAATGTGAAACATATCAATATATATTTATTCTAACGCAATGATATTTAAGAATCTATAAACACAACATAATGCAAGGTTCATGCCTAATATTCAGCCAATACAAGACCCACAAGATACAGGTCTAAGTAGCAAACATACAAACCATACGTACTTACCTTCCTGAACATAAAGGACATATTCTGTTCAACACGAGAAACATGGGAGGGATCCTATAGGGTGGGAAATATTCGCCTCCTGTCATTACTAAAATTAAGATTATTAGTACACTAAAGCTAATATAATCTTCAATTTTACCACATGACAGGAGGCTTCATATTTGCATTTTTAAAGCTTTGAATTGACCAATGTGAAGGAAGCATGAGATGTTTGCCGAAAATAGAATGTTCTAAACGTACTCTCTCGCGCTCAGTCCGCGCAGCGTATAATGTCGGCTAGGGAAGCGTCGGCCGAAAAGGTTTGTGAGGCCGCTGCTCCCCTGACCGAGTGGGCTCCGAAACAAGGTTCGACGCTAAAGACAAAAACCAGCGGACCCATCTGGCCAGTGTTGCGGTAGACACCGGTCCATGAGGGTTTACATAAGAAGTCAGAAGGTGATCCGTCGAATGAGTTCGAAGGGGTAGAGATATTGGTGTACCCCATCAGCGTTCTGACCACGCATAGTGTGGCGTCTGACACAAAGCATGGGTATGACACTGAAGACGAATCCGACTTAGTTCGTCTCGACATGGTAAAGGTAACCCCGTCTGGTGTGAGAGAGAAAACATCCATATCGCAAGCCCTAACGTCCGCCACCGTCTAAATGAGGCGAGGTATAATAAGAAGGCTAGTTTGGCTGAAAGTTGCTTCAGTGACAAACAAGGATTGTCCGGCCATTCCCTAAGGAATCTCAGCACCACATCCACCTGCCAGAGGCGTGAATATTTGGGTGCAGGGATCTCGACAATTCGGCACCCCGCAGTAGTCGACAAACCAGTGTATCTTGACCTACTGGTCTGCCCTGTACCGGAACGTGCGCCGCCGACATGGCGGATCTGATCACGTTGAGGGATCGATATGACCGACCCAACGAGACCAGGTGTGACAGATAGTTGGGGATCAGTGGGACAGGTGCGGTAAAGGGATCGGAATCCCTTTCCACACACCAATCACTCCAGGCCAACCAGGCAGAAATATAGCCTTTCCTGGTGCCGGGAGCCTATGAGTCCCATAGGAGGTCTTAGTTGATGCAATAGGTCGTGATCTGACCAGGAGCCCCTGAAGCCGTCCAGGCAACTAGTGCCAGTTGTCCTTCCATGACAAGGGAGTTGGCTTCCCCTCGAGGTCCCGTCAGAAATAGAGGGAAGGTAGGGAGTAGTAGAGGGTCTTCGCGAGACATCTCCAGGCGATCCTGGAAATCACGGTTGGCCCTGCCCGAGGGGTGTCATGAGCAGGAGCGATATCCTGTGGGTGTGTGTGTGTATCGAAGCACCCTTGCTATTGTGGAGAACGGCTGGGTTGCGTTTGCAGGGGTTCATCCATCGCCCCGTATCCGAAGGAAGAGTCAAAGGTCGTTTTGCCAATCCAAGTTTGTATGTGAAGTAATCACCATCGAAATTCCATCCTCACTTCCGTTGACAGTGGGATCCAGTGGTCGTATGAGTGACCGGTGCGTACGTATCTCACCATCAGTCGTAGTGGGTGTAATGGTATTTATTAATTAATGACTTTTTGTCATAAAAAAAAAAGCATAATGAGCTTAATGCTTTAGACGCACCACTAGATGTCAGTAAAGCATATTTAGTGTAATGCTTTGGGGGCACCACTAGGGGGAGTGTGTAGGAAGACCTGTGCTTCTGGCAGTGACATCACAGGCCAGCCTACTTACACTGAATAAAAACCCAGATGTTAGGAGAAGCAAGCTCTCTGTTTGCCTGTACCTGACTGATCATGTAGTACCAGCTCTGACTTAGCCCCAGCCCTTTGGCTGGGGCCTTGTAAGTAATATGTTTGTATTGTAACAGTTAGCAATTGTAATAGCCTTTTGTATAATATTTAGTAACCAATAGTGTTTTGTGTAGTATTGTATTGTATAATTATTGAAATTGACATTCCGCTAGCATCTGTTTATTTATTATAGTTATATTAAATATACATTTAATATTACAACGTTTTGTGTATTTTCTATCCACATATTCGACCATAATACCATGAATTATAAAAATATTAATGTTGTTCCGTATTGCTTAATTATTATGTATTAAGAGATTAATATTCATATTTAGGTCACGAACCACAACATTTGGCGTAGTCGGCAGGATTATGCTTGAATATTGGGGAAAATATAAATGTTATGCATTTTGCTTAAATCATACTGTAAATTGTCTGTCTGTATACAAATGAATAAATGAATGATGATTTGGTTTTAATGGAATGAATGCAGATAGCAGATAGGGATTAGATATTTGTTTTTAAGGTATCTCTTGTTGTAGAACATAGTGATGAATTATTGTGTTGCTTGTTACGTTTTACCAACCTTTGGTCATTTTTATATATAAAACAAAAAACAATTTTACTTTTTGTCTGACCATGTGGATTTTAATCCACCATTGACCACATGGTGTGAATGAGTTGAGGCCTAGTTTCATTGTTTGCTACCATTTGCATAGGAAAAGACTTTTCACTAAACTAGTTCACCAGGTTTTATTGCTAAATTTGACCCTGTTTGTGTACTAATTTACATTTGTTTGGCATTCATGGATTTGTCTAGTTGAAAAGAGATTTGGACAAAATGTATTAAATTAGTAGTTAAGAAAAAGATACGTTTAGTAAAGCAGATTCAGTGAATAATAGATTTATGTGTGCGTATACACAGAATATTAGTATAAATATATATGATTTTGACTCATGAAGGAGAGACCACCTTTTTAACAGCTGTGTGACCATGCTTTTCAGCTACAGCTGGGGGAGAATTTGTCCTTGTTGGGGGTGGGTAGTCTTGCCTGTATGAGAAAAAATAAACTGCATTGTTTTGTAAATGTAATTGCCTAAGCTAATCAATTTGTGGAGTGTTTTTCAGCTTTATTATCCAGGACTAAGGAATTACTGGACATATGCAGGAACTGGTAACAAATGAACTGAAAAAATGGTAAAATAATTCCTTTGTCCTATTTAGTCTGAATATTTTAACAAGTTAGCATTTTTAACAAAGTAAGTGTAGGGGCTCAGATTAAGATTTATATTATTTTAGAAGCCATCTATAACTGATTTTAATATTTCCATGCTTTGAATTAGGGTGTATCTGCCTAGCGGGTGAACCTCCATAACGTGGGCTGTGATTTTAGTTACAGTAGCGGGTGGGGAACCTGAGCTAGGGGGTATTTAAACGTGTCCGGATAAGGGGGAGCATACCCAATAGTTGTTGTGCAGTTCTATCCTGTATTATTATTTGAAACCCTGTATTACTTATAAGTAGCGTTTTGTAACTTATTTGTAATTGTTTATATATATTGCTCTGGGAAAGGGATAGGCAAAATCTCTGAGAGACCAGGAAATATATTTTAAAAAAAGGGCGTATTACACTAGTGGTAGGGTGGCCTATCATGACCATAGAGACCCTTGGTGACTAGTTTTTGTTGTATATTGCCCTGGGAAGGGGATACGCTATTTAATAGAAATTCCTGAGAGACCAGGAAATATACAATAAGTGATACGTGAATGTACTGGTTAAATTGCAGACATATTGGCCCAGAACCTTTAATCGAGCCGGAAAAGAGGCTGCTGTATGTTTGCTCCTCTATAATTTTGCGGGGGCGGTCACCCCCATGCGGAAAGCCACTGCCATCACAGGGTGGTTAGTTGTGCAGGCCCTTAGCCGCGAGGTGCAAGCATGTCCGTGGAAAGGCTAGAAATTAATAGGGAGTCACTCATAGCTGTCAGAAGTGTTGAACTTTGAGACATATTGACCTATATCCTTTCAGAGGCGGAAGAGGTGTTGTGGTTCACTCCTCTATAATTTAACCAAAGGGTGGAAAGTTATTAAACATGTTTAAGTTGGCTAGAAATTTGTTATTTTAAGAGCCGAGTAGAAAAATTAAGAAAGTTACCTTGTTGAACAAATTGTTTATAAAATGAAAAGCTGAAGGAATGTGTTTACATGTCTGTGTGTGTATATATGTATATATGCTAAGTAAAGGATTTGGCAGTATACGCTATAAGTGACAAGGAAAAGTAATCCTGATCTGTTTTCTTTTTTTCCAATGTGTTTTATTTTAGGCATATTATTTGTTTACACATCGTATAAAACAGAATACGAGGTATATCAAGGGGTACAAAAGAGAAAAAAGGGAAGGGGGAAGGGGAAAAGGGGAAAAGCAGCTTATACAAATTTACACATATCCTTCAGTACAGTACAATGTAATACAGTTTGGAACAGCTAACAATGCGAATGTCTGGTAATCCGTGGTAAGCGGACATTATAGGCATTATAGGCATTACAGATAGCATGAGATCTTCACATAACATATTGAAGGTAGACAAGCATTTGACAAGTGAAAATACCTTAGAGCATACTGGCTTACTCGTAGGGGGGCTGCTGTATGAGCCCATGGAGTAAGGGGTGGGGGGGAAACCCGGTTGGGGTTAATGGTCGGATTATGGCACCTGGGGCGCCTCCCCCTCTCTAAAGGTTACCCAACTCTGCCATCTTAATTTGTACCTGCTTTGGGTATTTGTCAGCCGGCTAGCCATACGTTCATAAGCATGGAGTGAGTCCAGCCTGCTGAGGATTTCTGGCATTGTTGGCGTCAATGGTGATTTCCATCTATGTGCGATGGCAGTTTTAGTAGCCATGAGACAGTGGATCATGAAAGGGATTGCTTCCTTGGGAAGAGAATTCGGAAAAATATGTAGTAGAAAGCACTCTGGGGATTGGGGGATGTGCACTCCCAGAATTTTATACAGAAGAGCGTGTATGTCCCGCCATAGAGTGGTAATAGGCGTACATGTCCAAAATAAATGTAAGAGGGACCCTACGCTATTTTGGCATCTCCAACAGCTTGCGTCAGAGCCCGGATAGATACGGGCCAGTTTGGTGGGGACTAGATACCAACGCATTGCTAATTTACAGTATGTTTCCCATTGATTAAGGCTATGGGACGCCTGTTTAGTTAATTTTTGGGCGCGATGCCATAAATCATTAGAAAAATGCTTTCCCAGATCTGATTCCCACTTAGACATATACGATGGTTTGGACAGTTTGTCTTGGAGCAGTAGAGTGTTGTAACATAGAGATAATGCTTTGATTTTTGGAAGCTTGCCCATGCATTTGTGAATGAAGGGTGATGTAGAGTCGGGTTCACTCAGGCTAATCCCGCTTTTCTGAATTATGTTTTTTATTCTGAAATAGGAGAATAGTTCCCCTGGGGGGATGTGGAATTCCCTAATCAGGTCTGGGAAGGACTTGATGCCTTCAGCGGACAGTAGGGAACGAACTTGGGTGATCCCTTTCTTAAGCCATATGTCTAGGTGTATGTTTGAGGTTCTTGTAGTCAGGGCTTGGAGTGGAGCGGCTGGGAGTAGGTCGTTATTCCGTAGGAAGAGCGGTGTAGTTTGTTTCCAGTTGTGAAAGAGCGCGACTGTGGTGGGCAGCAGGGATGTGGCTTTGGGAAATTTGGACCCGGCCCACAGGGAAAGTGGGATCGAGCCATTAGGTGTGCAGGCGTTCTCCAATGCCAGCCATATTGGGGGAGAGGGGCGTTCGAGGATCGTAAGGCCCTGGGCCAACAGGGACGCCCTATAGTAAAGGGATATATTGGGAACACCCAGACCTCCTTTTGTGAACGGGCGCCATAGTGAGTTTTGCGCTATCCTGGGGGGTTTCCTCTTCCAAATATGAGCATTGATCATGGCCTGGAATTTCTTTAGGAGCGAGTTTGGGATTGTAATGGGGAGAGTGCGGAATAAGTATAAAATGTGTGGGAGGATCATCATTTTTACAGTGTGGATACGTCCTAACCAGGAGATCTCCTTCTCCTCCCAGGACTTGAGGAGTTGCTCTAGTTTGTGAATGAGTGGCAAGTGGTTTTCGTGCGTTAATGCTGAGAGCCTCGTTGGCAATTTAATACCCAAGTATGAAATGGAGGAGTTCCGCCACTCAAACGGGTATAGTGTTTTTAGAGGGTTTAAAGAGGTAGGTGGCAGTCCCAATGCCAATGCTTGTGTTTTTTTGGCGTTGTTTTTATAGAACGAGACCTTACCGTAAGTTTCCAGCAAAGTTAGTAGGTTTGGTAAGGATTTTGCTGGACGTGATAAGAAGAGAAGGACATCGTCAGCGAATAGGGCTATTTTTTGAGTCCCGATGGGGGTAGATAGGCCTTCGATCGAATTGTCACTTTTTATATGTCTAACCAGTGGTTCCATGCAAATTATAAAGATTAACGGGGAGAGGGGACAGCCCTGTCTAGAGCCATTGGTTATTTGGAAAGACTGAGATAGGAACCCTGAGTTGAATACTTTGGCTGCTGGATTAGAATATAGGGCCATAATTCCTTTCAGGAAGTCTTGTGGTATGCCCACTGCAGTTAGGACAGCCCTCATGTAAGACCAATTAAGGCGGTCGAATGCTTTTTCCGCATCTAGAGCTAGTAAAATGCCATGTTGGTTGGTTTTTTGGGCCCAGGAGATGAGGTTCAGGAAGTGCCGCGTGTTATCCCCCGGTTGTCTATGTGGGACAAAGCCTGCCTGTTCTGGGGAAACCAGGTCTCTCAGGAGGGGTTGGAGGCGGTTGGCTAGTAATTTGGCAAAAAGTTTTATATCTGCGTTCAACAAGGAGATTGGTCGCAGGTTGGCGCATTCGGTAGGTGGTTTGCCGGGCTTAGGAAGTGTAACGATATGTGCTAGCAACATTTCTTTCGGTATTGTCCCTGAGTCCCTGAAGGAATTGAAGAGGTTTGTGAGGTGCGGGGTGAGCTGTGTCTCGAATGTGGAATAAAAGTGGTTGGAGAACCCGTCTGGGCCCGGAGCTTTATGTTTGGGCAGTTTGCGAATTGCGTTTTGTATTTCTTCCTCTGTGAATTTGGCTGATAAGGTTGCGCATTGACGTGCCGATAAGTGCGGCAGCTCTGCTCCCGTCAAAAAGGTGGCTATGTCTGGGTCTAATGGTTGGTGTAAAGTACTGTCCTGTGCGAGGTTATAAAGTCCTTTGTAGAAATTGGCCAATTCGTCTACTATATCTTGTGGGTTAAACAATTTTGATCCAGTAGACGAAGTCATGTATGGTAGTTTAGATTGTATGTATCGGGATTTTAGACGTTTTGCGAGTAGTTTGCCTGCCTTGTTCCCTTGCATGTAATAGGCGAGCTTTAATTTGCGGAGCTGTCGTTCCACATTTATCAGGGAAATATTGAGTATTTTGTCCCTTAACTTTTCAATAGTACGGGATAGCTTTTTAGATGGTTTGAGTTTATTAATTTGTTCTAAGGATTTAAGTTGGGAATGAAGGTTATCTGACTCGGTGAGGGTTTTCTTTTTGTTAATTGCGCCTGCTTGAATTAATAGGCCTCTTAGCACGGCTTTTAGGGCCAGCCATTTAGTGTCTATGCGTGTGCTGTCGGAAAGATGGTTCTCGAAAAATGATATTATGTTATCCCGAATTTTTGCCGCCGTAGTCTCGTTGTCGAGGAGGGATTCGTTTAGTCGCCAGGCACTGCGCCCCCGTGATGGAAACAAGGCCCTGAAAGTTGTGGTTACCGGCGCGTGGTCGGACCAGGTCCGGTCACCTATTTGCACTTCTATTATATTGGATACTGTATTTTTATCTACCCAGCACATATCTATACGCGAGTATGTGTGATGGACTCGTGAGAAATATGTGTAGTCTCGTTCTTTCGGGTAAAGGGAACGCCATGAATCGTAAAGGTCGTGCCTGTGGAGTAGTGTGCTAAGGGTTGCGCTCATTGTGTTAGCAAGTTGGAGAGGTTGTTTGTTTGCTATTCTCTTGATGTCCAGATCGGGGTCTAGTGTGCAATTGAGATCGCCACAGATAATAGTGTGCCCTACACGGATAGTAGCGATTTTATTCAGTGCTCTTTTAATGAAGGAAATTTGGGAATTGTTGGGTGCATAAATGGAAGCAATTGTAAGTTGCATACCATTCAGCGATCCTACCACTACAAGGAGCCTGCCCAGCTCGTCTACATAGGAATTATCAAGATGAAAGACCCAATCAATATGGAACAGAATTGCCACTCCTTTTGTTTTGTTTGGTGCATGGGCATGAAATACCTGCTGATATCTGGATGAGCTCAGTTTAGGGGGGTTTCTTTTGCACATGTGTGTTTCCTGGAGGCAAACTATGGCAGCCTGGGAAGTATGAATGGTCTTAATCATAGAGCTCCTTTTAAATGGGCTATTTAGGCCGTTGACATTCATAGAGAGACATTTAAATTGGTACGTCATCTTAAAGAGATATATAATAAAGCTTGTTGGTCACAGCATACTGTCTGCCAGCGACACTCATGGGACCTGTGGATAGATGGTGCGTAGTGTAGAATAAGGGAAGATCAAATGGCTGAGTACGACCTGCACAGACATGGGACAACGGAGCTGCCAAGGGGATGGGAAGGGAATTAACAGGAAAGACAAAATCAACAAACAAAGGTATATACATTAACTCTCTCTGGGACGAGAGAAAATACTGGGATCCGGAGGGGAGCCTAAAGCTCCAAATACCTCGGATACCTTTGGGGGGTCGTGCGGAACAGGGCCGCACCCGGACCAGAATCTTAGAGTAAGCAAGAATGGAACGGAAAATATGCGCAAGAGGGTCTGAAACCTGGACAGCATTCTCGCCTGTGCCCCCTCTAAATCCCTGATGCATTATAGTGGAGAAGGGTAACGGGTTTATAGGGACATAACCGGGATTGCTGCGGCTGATTGGCGGAAGGGTTTTTTTTTTTTGTTTTTTTTTTTTCTTGTGATATATGATACATATTTCCTTCTATTAGGCTGAGCATAGTCGATAGTGTATCTAAAGACGTAGTCATAGTTCTCAGGAGGCGGCCACTTGGCCATGTGTGTGTTTAGCGTTCATGGGGAGGAGGGGGGCCTTGGGAGACCTAGCCCTAGGGCCTATTAGAGTACAGGAGGGTGAGATGCTACACATGGGGGCCTAAATTCCTCCGTAAGGAGGAACGAACATTATGACATAGCGATTTTCCAGAGGGGGGATTACTCCCTTGCAAACATTCCTCAGATAAAACAGTAAAACATGTACGACCTCCCTTATGAGTATGAGCAATACTTAGTGGGAATTGTATAAACTTTTTTTTTTTTTTTTTATCCTTCATCATGTGAACTATCCATGCCCCCCACCCCACACCCTCATCCAACAATATGCCACCGTGTACGTTCATACGATACCACTCGTAGCAACTGGGGTCTGTGACCCTTAGCGATGTATAGGCTTAGAGCCCTTGCATAAGGCATAAGCCAGCTGGAGACAGTTCAGGGGTAAGAGGTAGAAGTTCGTGACGGGCGAGGGCATCGACAGTCAGCACGGTGTCTTCTTATGCAGCTGTAGGATGCATCAAAGAGTGGAGGCAGGGAGATGCTGTCCTGTATGGGATGGCTGTTATCGTCGAGCGCCAACCATCTGCCAGTCTGGCTGGGATTTCTTCAGGGTGGACGAGGCGTTCGGTTGTTGATGGGTGGCTTCTTGTTGGCCCCAAAGTCCCCAGAGTTTCAGCATGGATAGACCTTTCAGGGGGTCATCTATAGTGTGGAGCTTATTCTGCCGCCAGATCAATAGTTTTGTAGGAAATCCCCAACGATAAGCCTGGTTGTGGTTGCGTAGGGTTTTGGTAATGGAGGAGAATTCTCTGCGTCTTGCCATAGTGAGGGCCGATAGGTCCGCAAAGATAGAGACAGCGTTATAAGGGTCGGGCAATGTGGCTTGGGCTCTAGCGGCCTTAAGAAGAGCCTCCTTGGCTTTAAAATGATGGTAGCGCACGATAATGTCGCGCGGAACATCCGCGCCTAATCTGGGCGGTTTTGGAACCCGGTGGGCTCTGTCCAGTTCCCAGGTTACCTCTGAGAGGTCAGGGACCAGCGTGGTGCTTAATGCGGTAATGTAGGCCGAGATCTGATCTGTTGATACGGACTCTGCCACTCCCCGGAACCGCACGTTGTTCCTACGAGAGCGGTCCTCCATGTCCGCCATTTTATGCCATAATTTGATATTGTCTTCTTCTAGTTTCTGTATTCTCTCCGCCATCAGATTATGGGCAGAGGAGAGATCATCGGTTTTGCGTTCGACCTGGTCGGTCCGGTCACCCAGCTCCTCTAATTCTTGGTGGATGCCCGCCAAGGAGGTGGTAAAATCCTCTTTAATAGTGGACCTGAGGTCCGCGAGCGCTTGTCTCAGATACTCCTTAGAGAATTGTGAGTCGTCTGATAGCGAGTGCGTAGGCGACTCGGTGCAGGGGACGGGGTCTGGAGACTGAGCTCTGCTGGCGACGCCATCTTGGGCCTGCTTCAGCCTTTCTTTCTTATGTTGGCGGACCGTGTCCGTAAGTTTCGTCTGTTTTGATGGAGACATTAGGAGCCGTGTAGCCTTATCCCCCGCTGGTTCAGGGCAATCTGGCGAGATTTCCTTGATAAAAGTGTTTATTCTGGTCCGGGTGTGCGGAGCTCCTACTCCATGCGACCGATCTTGCCGGAAGTTGGACACGCCCCCCTGATCTGTTTTCTTACCTTTTTCAGATATAGCAGAAACCAGGGGTGGACATTGGAACACAGATAGAATATCAGATGGAGACCAGTGTTTAAATGTTGACCTTTGATGAGCTATTGAATGTTTTATTTTATTGTCTATTTAACATGTCTATGCTATGATTTTGTGCATACCATTCTCTTATTTCTAGTGATTGTATTGCAATTGAAACCCTTATGTATTATTGTTGTATGTATGTATGCTTGCCTGGGAAAGGGGGGAATTGACCCATAGGGACCAGGGGGTATTTTTGTGTAAACCAAACTGGGGTGGGAGGGCTCTAACAAGGGAACCCCATTGTCCAGTAGGTGCTTGATTTGTGTCTGTGTAAAGTGCATGAGTGGTTGCAGTTCAAAAAACAAAACAAAAAAAAATAAGAGGGAGAAGAGAAAGTAGGCATTTTGGGTTATCTATACATGTTTAAATAGAAGGGTGGTAAATAGGAATGTAATTGTTTTGGTTAATGTTTAGATTAAATTGGTAAATGCAGCAGTAATAACTAGTGTTTGGGTTAAATTGGTAGATGCAGCAGTGATATTGTGTTTATCTGTGAATCAGGAGTGTGCTGGATGTGAAGAGAGGTGTGTAGGTATTTATCCAAACGCCATAGGAAAAAATATGGTTAAGACACCACAATCAAATGGTACTTGTGATGATTGGCACAGTTATTATTTATGTTTGTGTTCGTCATTGCCTGTGTTTTCATTCAAGAACTTTCAAGCAAGGATATTTTAAGCAGAAGAAGAAGCACTGGACACTATGCTCAACTGTTGCTGTAAGGAGAAAAAATATTGCAGCTAAGAGTGGTGAGAGTCCGAACAAATGCATCAGGAGCAGGACACTGTTACGTCAAGGTGGTTAATGGTATAAAGAAAGAAAAAACAAAACAATGTGACCACAAACACACAAAAGTCCTTGATCACATGAACTGTTTCATTCATCCCTGTCTCCATGCGTATGTTCTATGAGACTGTCAAAGAATAGAGTATCCAGTTTCCAGGACTAATGTTTGTGAAAATTCCAGGCACACAGACCAGCCAGAGGCTACAGAAATCGTGTCGGTCTGTGCCATGATTCATAGGTGTTATGAGTTTGTGGTGTCTAATACTATATTAAGCTCCAAAACACATCCTCACATGAACACAATATCATTGGTTAATCTAATAAAACATGGTTTGAGTTGTCTATTATTACAAGGGTGGGTATTTGCCTATTTAAGGCCAAGGTTTCCCAACTGCTAATGCATGTGCTCAGTGGTTATTATAAGGGTGGGTATGTGCTTATTTTAAAAAAAACAAAAAAACAAAATTGAATAAGCAATAAAGTGTCATAACTTTACGGGTAAATGGGTATCATTCTTCAAAAGGTGGGTTTTGTTGTAGGGCAGGTACTGTTAAAATAGGGTAGATTCAAGATGTACGGGTTTATAATGTTTGTTTTATGACATAAGTCAAAGGGTGGTTTGTAATGGTATTTATTAATTAATGACTTTTTGTCATAAAAAAAAGCATAATGAGCTTACTGCTTTAGACGCACCACTAGATGTCAGTAAAGCATATTTAGTGTAATGCTTTGGGGGCACCACTAGGGGGAGTGTGTAGGAAGACCTGTGCTTCTGGCAGTGACATCACAGGCCAGCCTACTTACACTGAATAAAACCCAGATGTTAGGAGAAGCAAGCTCTGTTTGCCTGTACCTGACTGATCATGTAGCACCAGCTCTGACTTAGCCCCAGCCCTTTGGCTGGGGCCTTGTAAGTATATGTTTGTATTGTAACAGTTAGCAATTGTAATAGCCTTAGCAACCAATAGTGTTTTGTGTAGTATTGTATTGTATAATTATTGAAATTGACATTCCGCTAGCATCTGTTTATTGAAATTGACATTCCGCTAGCATCTGTTTATTTATTATAGTTATATTAAATATACATTTAATATTACAACGTTTTGTGTATTTTCTATCCACATATTCGACCATAATACCATGAATTATAAAAATATTAATGTTGTTCCGTATTGCTTAATTATTATGTATTAAGAGATTAATATTCATATTTAGGTCACACCACAACAATATATAGATTAAAAACTTTAAGCCCAAAAGGTCTTAATGAAGGTTTCTCGTTTTCCCCTTTTCTATAATAGCCTTTTATACATCAGCATCTTATAATTATGGGATTGTTCCGGTATTCTAGGTAATTCGGATCACCCCTTAAGGAATTTATTGAGGAGACTGGAACTAATGGAAGAGACCCTTTACCCTTTAAATATCTGGTGACAATATTTAGGATTATCTGAAGAAATGGAACAGCACTTTGCTCCAACTATATTGTATTGGTTAAGCCCACTTTAAAACTCCCAAGGGCTCCATTTATGATTATTTATTACTATTTTTGATTTATCATCATATCTTTTCTTTAAGGATTATACAACTTTAACAGGCTAAGAGATACAATATAGTGTCATATTAATTTCTAAGGACGTAATATTCATATACTCTGAACCAAGAATTTGATGGATGGAGGAGACATCACACTAAATGGTGATCTCTCTTAATTTTTTATATGGTTCTACATGTAAGTTTCATCTTTATATTGCTAATTAGGCTTATCTGACAACTCCACTAAATGGTTACAGTTAGAGGCTTTGACATGTTTACCATTTCTAGATATTTGATGCACTTGATGCAGTTAATCCATGACTTTTTTTATTTTTATTTATATCTATTTTTATTTACCTTTCTTTATTTCTCTATTATTCTGTTATTATTTATTAATTTTTATTTTTACCAGCAGATTAGCAATCTTTAAATCTATATAGACTATTAAAACGAAATTGGTTTCAAAAGTGATTGAAGCTAGGCTTAAACGGATAGTTAACTTAGCTTGAAAATCTTTAACAGTAACCATTGTATATTATAATTATATATCCTTTAGACATCGGACACTATGTATTAATTTATTCTCTTTACAAAGTTTACTGGTAATATGGTAATTTTGTATCCTTATAAACCATCTATCACTCTATATTGATGTTTCCATTTTTATTAATATATTGAATCCAAGGTTTAGACCTTCTGACTCCCAAGGGTTAATTGGATGCTAATTTCAAACACAATCTATTTTTACCTTGGGCAGTCCAGTCTTTTTGGCTCCGAGCTCTTTTTACTTTGAGTTCCCTTATTTGTACCTATTCAGCCTCTGTCCGCCTGACGTCACAGGACTAGGCGTGGCTATAACCAAATACAGTTTTGGAGGCGGATCCAAGCCCCTTTAACCCCTTAAGGACCAAACTTCTGGAATAAAAGG